TAACTGTTTACCCAGTAAACAAACGGCGGGAGAGCAGCAGTTATTCAAAGGGTGAACCTTAGTAGAATAAAAAGTGTCAGTATTTGGTTCCTAAACACCAACCCATTCGTGTGTAGAGTTTATGCTGATCAGCATTTTTTCCCCGAGCACACCACATTCTGTGGATCCTCCCTCAGTCCGCTTCCTTCACATCAGCTGATTTGGTCGACCATTTTCCAGAAAATGAGTCTAGACATACACCTTGTCGATCTACGGTCACTGATTTTTAGAAGTATTTTTGTTTTCCATCTTTAAAGTTCACCAACACATCTTTACCAAGAATCCATCTGCATGCTTCACGTTTTTTTATGTGCCGTTTTAAATGATAACAGAAAACTGAGAAGTTAACTTTTTAAGGTTTGTGTTTAAACCAATTAATTTTTATGTATTTTTGTGTCATACTTTGCTAAATATGTTATGAAGGTTATTTTAAAAAAATCATATTATTAAACTTGAAACTGTCAAAAATAAGCTAAAGAGACAAAACTATAAAAGACCATTTCCTGAGGTTTGCCTTTCCGCTGGCTCTGTTTAAAGGTGCTTTTCTGACAGGTGAACCTACCATCCCAAATTAATCCAGAACTCCTATTTTGAAGCTATTATAAGAGATGATAAACGCTTGTCAGATAAGCTAAACAAAATGGGAAAAAACACAACGAAAAAGTTAAAGTGGTGCACTCTTATGCAGAGGTCGTCTCGAATCGTAAACTTCCCCGATAAAGCCTGACATTAGAGCAATTGTCATCACTGCCTCAGAACATCCAACATGTGTCAGCATTTGTTTTATTTATACATGCATACATGGATACACACATACATAGCCTTAAGCAAGCTTGTGACCTTCAAGATTTGTTAGCACAGATTGTACGTTTACAGACGGACACGTGTCTTCTTGGTGCATAGAGGATAAATGAGCCCCTATTACCCCGGGGTTGCATGCCTGTTTGGGGTTAGTCTCATGCTGGTTAAACACATACCAACCATACATTCACACGGCACATACATGAACTAAAATACTCATCTAAATGTCTTCCACATTTGGATACAGCAGACATTTAGATGAGGTGTGTGTGTGTGTGTATGTATGTGTGTGTGTGTATGTATGTATATATATATATATATATATATATATATATATTATAATAATAATAATAATCAGTTCAACATTTATATAAAAATAAAGGGAACATATAAAACAACAAATAACGATCGATCAAATCAAACTTCTGAGAAATCAAACTGTCCACTTGGGAAGCAAAATTGATTGTATATTAAATTCACCCGCTGTTGTGCAAATGAAAATGATGTCAGCAGATGAAAATAATTAGCAAGACACAATCCATAAAGTGGTTCTGCAGGTGGGGACTACAGACCACCAATGCTTTCTGGTTGATGCTTTGGTCATTTTTGATTGTTGGCGGTGCTTTCACACTGGAGGTAACATGAGACAGATGCTACAACCCACACAAGGGGCTCAGATAGTGCAGCTCATCCAGGATGGCAAATCAATGCCAGCTGTGGCAAGAAGGTTAGCTGTGTCTGTCAGCGTAGTGTCCAGAAGCTGGATGTGCTACAAGGATACAGGCCAATGAAAAATATATAGAGGAGGGCAACAGCCCAGCAGCAGGAACACTACCTCCGCCTTTGTGCGAGGAGGAACAGGAGGAGCACTGCCAGAGCTCTGCAAAATGACATCCTACAGACCACAAATGTGCATTTGTCTGCACAAACGCTTGGAAACCGACTCCGGATGATATGAAGGCAAATTCGCCACTGGCGCCCTGTGCTACAGGAGCACCTGTGACAGATATGACAGAGCCTGGAGACACCTTGAAGAGCAATCTGCTGCCTGCAACATCCTTCAGCATGACCAGTTTTGGGACTGGGTCAGTAATGGTGTGGTGTGGCATTTTTTTGGACGGATGCACAGCCCTCCATGAGCTCACCAGAGGTAGCATGACTGCCATTAGGTGACAAGATTAAATCCTCAGACCCCTCGTGAGACCATATGCTGATGCGGTTGGCCCTGGGTTCCTCCCAATGCAGGACAATGCCAGACCTCATGTGGGTGAAGCAGTTCCTAAGGCATTGAAGATATGGACTGGTCAGCCATTCTTCAGACCTGAATCCGACTTCATGTCTCGATACGTCCATTAGTCACGTTGACCCACAGATTGTCAAGGAGTTGGTGAATATGGAGCAGATCTCTCAGGAGACCGTCCACCACCTCATCAGGAGCATGTCCAGGTGTTGTAGGGTGGTCATTCAGGCATGTGGAGGCAACAAGCAATACTGAGGACATGACATCAACGTTGGATCAGCCTGTACTGTAATTTTCCACTGTATTTTTGTGTGAATCCAAATCGAGGCCTGCATTGGTTAATAAATTGGATTTCCAATGATGTTTGTGTGATTTATTTATTTTTTTATCGGCACATTCAACTTTGTACAGAACAAAGTATTCAATAAGAATATTAAATTCATTCAGATCTTATGTCAAGTCAGATCAGGGGGGGATTTACCATTAGGCAATACTAGGCAGTTGCCTAGGGCCCCAGGTTCCTGGGTATAGATAATACACTGTAAAAACGAAAAAGTGCTCACCTCCAAGCTCCACCCCTCTCACAGTATCTGCGCGGCTACCGCATGCGACCAGAAGCGTCCAAGCAGTGTACGCAGCAGCTCTTCCATTGACATCTTCTTTTTTGAAGTCTTTGCTGTGTAAGCAGTTGTCGGCAGGGGCAGTAAGGGCAGTTTCTCTTTCGCTGGTGGCTGTCGCTCCGCCATGACTTCCACGCACGTCCTCCTGACTGCGGCTGGTTCAGCGGTGAGAGGAAGGGGGCGGGATTCAGCATGTGTGAGCTGTGATTGACACTCCATCAGACGCTCCTCTGGCTGTGATTGGTTGTTTTGACTCGTCCCGAAATATTCTTTCCAGATTGAAATACAGGCAGTAGGCGGGACCAATTGAAGCAGTTTCTTTCACAGGTTACATATCACATGTACTGCTGTCTGGGCATAGGGACAGTTTTAGCCAATATGACAAAAAAGTGATTTTAAAAACTTACAGACTTCAGCTTTAATTTATTGAATAAGATGAACTTTTCATCAGAAACTTATGAAAGTGAGTTCAACTGGCTCACAACAGACAGTACAAGTTCCAACTGGCAATTTTATTGTCAGTGAATGCAAAAATCTTAGTAAGGTGAACAATTTTGAGTTGTCGTTTTTACAGTGTACAACTATTCCTTATTTGTGCACACTAATTGTTTCTGATAAAATCCTTTTGCGAAAATGCCACCAGAACGCTTATAATAAGTGTGTCTCAGCGAGAAGTGAAAAATGGAGAATAGATAAGCAGAAGATCATGGGTTGTCTACAGTTGAAAAGGACTGTTATTTACTTTCGCTGTCGCCTTTCTGGAAACACAGGAAGGAGCAATCAGCTAAGTGAGCTTAGTGCTTGGAAAAAAACTTTCATTCCTTTTGAGACAGCATGAAAAGTCAGCTGAGTACAAAACATAGAGAGGAAAACAAGAAGAAAAGGGACAAAACCTAGAACAAATAATGGATGTCTATTCTATAAAAAAAAAAATTCTGTATCAGTATAATGGGTCTGTTTTATGTGTTGTCTTCTCAATTCAGAGGGGCCCCCGCATGTCTTTGCCTAGGGCCCCAAATTTCCTGAATCTGCCCCTGAGTCAGATCAGTGTTTTTATTTTATTTTTGCCGATATAAAGGGAGCCATATGCCGATTGTAAGCAGGTCGACGGAGGTTTGAATAACCCATGTTAACCCAACAATTTCAGTGGGAAAGAGGCTTTAATCCCCTGATGGGGGTGGCCATACCCCCACCTGAAGCTCCTCTCCTGTTATGCACCAGACACAAATAGAAATGGTAAAAAGGACATTTCCACGCTACACTGCGACAAAACTTGAGCAGTTGTGGTGTACAGTTTTCTATTTATCTAGCTGCTTAATGCCAGAGTACTTTAGAAGCAGCCCTTTCCATAGCTATAGATTGGTTAGTTCTAATCCGTTTATTTATATGGGGCAAGATGTTTCTATATTTCGATATTTTAGCCTTCTCATACAAGTTCATTTTGTCTGATAAAACCGATTAACACGAAACATTTTCTTAACAAAAGAAAAGCTGTATGTGTTTATCAGATCAAGTACTACGCAAATTATTTGTGTTGGTGCTTTCAATTGGAAATAAATGCAAAGGGCAAAACAGCTTACAGGCATTACTGCATGTTTATAATCATCTCAGTAACCCAGTCCTGTTAATTATATGTCCCGTATGGCCTCTGGACAGGGTGTGCGGATCCTTTGCCCTTGTGTCTGCTCAGCTCCGCTAGGGGAAATTGACACCTGAAGGTGATGCACAGGCATGTCAAACACCGCGGCCGCCCTTTTAGCACACCCCATGCATAGGAGCGAAAGATACTGAGCTGCAAGACGATATGTAAGCGCGGCATGCACGTGCGTCCCCACGTGAGCACTGCTGCATACTTAAAATGCACCGATATGTTTTTAATGTGTGCGCAACATGTTTTAGTTCAGATCTTTGCTGCCTTTCATGCTTTGAATGTATTTGTGAAATTAAATTTTAAAAAGAATTGACCTTTCAAATATAAATAACAGTACCTACAGACTAATAGGTTTGTTTAAAATGTGCATGAATCAATTATTAATTAGATTGGGTTTAATTTTTAAAATGCGGCATGTTTTGATGGAAAAAAAACTTTTTGTGGCGAGTCTTTTTGTTTTTTTCTGAGTTCAGTGAAACATATATAACACGGTAAACCAATGAGAGTGCAGCTGCTGCCTTGGAGACCCGCCCACCCTCTCATCTATGCCAACATTAATGAGAAGGGCTCCCGCGCGCCAATCGAATCGAATAGACGCGGCCATTTTTAATTAGAAGGCGTAGTTTCATCCGAACAGCAAAACCTGAAAACCCATTTCAGTTTTTTTTTAGAGGAAGTGGGATTAAAGAAGCGAGCTCTGTTCGATCTGTTGTTTGTGCGACTTTCCGGGATTTTAATTAGCCGATAAGTTAGAATAAATAATCGTGCAGCAGCTTTACTGGAGCCCGCAGAGAGTCCGCGCGCTTTGCTTCCTTAGTCGTGAACAACAAGGGAGAAGTAAACATGTCGGTGGAACCGATTCACATCAAGCTGGAGGCGGCTGGAGAGCCTCCCAGCTCGTTCCCGGTGGTTCTGAAGAAAATCATGGAAATGCCTCCGCCGAACATTCTGGACGGAGATGACGGTAAGAAAAGGAACAGGAGGAGAGAATCTGTCAAAAAAAAAAAAAAAAAAAAAAAAAAAAAAGAGAGAGAGAGAACTCAGACAATTGAAGAGGAAAAGCAGCGATAACGCGATTAGATGCTATTATTTTATCTTTTTTAGCTTTAATTAGGAGGATCTAAACCTCCAGTGCAAAGCGGGGCCTCCGTGTTCCTCTCTGTGCTCTAGATGTTTCCAGGTCCCGCCCCGTGAACCAAATGTGGTTAAGCTGACGCAAACATTTTTTTAAAGCCTTTTTAGATGACAGGTTTGACAGAACCTTCAGATTTCTGGTATTTGTGTTTTATTTCGTTATCTCGCGAGATTTGCCCCTGGCGTTGTTTTGTTCAATGCGACCTGCGGAGCCATAGAGGACATGGAGTCCAGAGGCATCCTGAAGGCCTGCTGTTATTGGTGCTAGGCTCCTCATGGTGAAAGGCTGCGGTGGATGAGGAGCTGGGACGTCCTGTAATGTTTGGGAAGCGGGGTATTTGAGGTCCTTTGATGGGGTGGGGGCTCCTTACTGGATGCCTGATGGCTTCTTCTCCTACTAAAACATAAAAGTAAACGTTTTAAGCTTTGGTTTTAAATAATGTTTGCTATTTTTTTATATGTATTGGGGAATATGGGCTTCTGCCCAGGACGACATGTTCCAGGGGTGTACCAGCGATATAATGAAGCACAGAGTCACCTGAGGCATCTAAAGATTCTCAGTCATCCTGGTCATGGTCAAGCTTAAAACATTTCAGATTTATACAAATGGACGTGAGGTTTTCTAGAAAACTTTTTTAAATAATGATATTATGGGCAGGGGGGATTTACCATTAGGCAATATTAGGCAGTTGCCCAGGGTCCCCAGTTCCTGGGGGCCTCATAAATTTCTGTTCACAAGTATGGTTAATACAACTATTCCTTATTTGTGAACATATTGTTCAGAAAGGTCCAAACAGACAGCAGAAAACCATTGAAGAGAAGTGTTGCCAACTTTGCACTTTAGTTGCTATATTTAGCGCCTTTTCAGACCCCTCTAGCACTTTGATTTCAAAAAAGCTCCTAGCGCCAAATCTAGTGACTTTTTTCTGCTACTGGAGACTTTGGTGCCACATCTAAAAGCAGCAAACTCTGCTCTCCAGAGCAAGTAGATTGGTAACCCCGCCTCCTGCTCTCCTCTATCTTGTCTGCTGTCATGATTCATGCAGCTATTATTTCATCCAAATGAAAAATGGAGAACAGATAAGCAGATCATGGCTTGTCTAGAGTGAAAAGAAGGACTGGGTTATTTACTTTGGCCGTCGCCTTTTGGGAAACACATTAAAGCCGGGCATACACTGCGATTTTTTTTTTTCAGTCGTTGCAATCAGCTAAGTGAGCTTAGTGCTTGGAAAAAATCTTTCATTCCTTTAGAGACAGCATGAAAAGTCAGCTGAGTACAAAACATAGAGAGGAAAACAAGAAGAAAAGGGACAAGAAGATAGGGACACAACCTAGAACAGATAATGGATGTCTATTCTATTAACATTTCTCTATCTGTAGAATGGCTCTGTTTTATGTGTTGTCTTCTAAATTCAGAGGCCCCCTGCCTGTCTTTGCCTAGGGCACTGAAGTAACGACTGTTACCTGTTGTTCTTAACTGTTAACTTTTACAATGACCAGGACTCCTATTTCATGTAAACAGAATTAGCTGGGTTCCACTCTCTGAATACTTTTCGGTAAGGCGTACATGAATTGCATAGACCCCCCCCCCCCCCCCCCCCGGACAACATTTAGCGTCATTATAAACTCGTTCCCATTTCTGAGATGCCTTCATGATGAATAACTCTGACTGTTGAGCCTCCAGGGTTGATTGACTGGCGGCATTTTATCGGTCGTCATCAAAGAAAGCTTTATCTGTGCTAATGGGGCTTTATTAATGACAGAGCTGCCACTGGTTAAAGTTACTGCTGTATGGTGATACTTTGAGCTGTTTTTGATGACTCCCACCTGTCTGGTGTCTATATGCTTTCTCCGATTGGCACAAGCATTAAACGGCTCCATCTTTTAGGACTGTAATGTTTTTGGTATAGTACAAAGGTAGTTTATTTTGAAAAAGTTAACCTGAGCGCTTGTCGGTGTGATCGTCTGATCTATGGGGGATTATTCTTCTCATCCGCCTAGAGGCAAACCTGAAGGAGCCTTTCTTGCACTGATAAGAGAAATTAATTTACATTAATAATACGATGGTAAATTTTAGTGGTTTAGAAACTTTTAATTTATTTATTTGTGTGTATTTACAGTGTAGTTAACCACATGTTCTCCTTTCAGACACAGATAAGGAGAAGCTTGGTCTCGGAGGTAACGCCGACCTGGCAGGAGGAGGAAGCGACATGGGTCCTTCAGCCGCTCTGACCCCCGCCATCTGGGAGAAAACCATTCCCTACGATGGTGAGAGCTTCCATTTGGAGTACATGGACCTGGAGGAGTTCCTCATGGAGAACGGGATCCCGATATCAACTGACGACGCCTCCCTAAAGGAAAGCCCAGCAGTAAACGCTGCCAAAACCGAGAAAGTAAAGAGCTCTGCACAGACCAAGCCAGCTGGTGGCGCTCCCGTCACCCTGCTGCCTATTCCAGAGCTGGAAAGGTGTGAGGAGGAAGTGGTGATCATCACAAAGAGTGATTCGGACGTTACGTGTGATGTCAGCACAGGTGAGCAGGAAACAGTGCAGAGACTTTTAAAGTAAAGTGAGGCAATATTATCCCTAAACAAGCTCATTAGGTTGAATTTGCTGGCTTACATTTCACTTTTTTTTTTTCTTTTTTTCACTTATTTTATGTACACTGGTGTAACTTTGAGCTTAAAAATCTTAGTAATAATTTGGTGTGTTCATAGATGCATAAAATAGAAATGCTTTGAGATGCCTGCTCTTTAAACACTGCATTGACAATAGAGTGGAAAATAGTTGGCTGGGTGGCAGCATCAGACTCTACTGAACGGTGGAGTTTACAGCAGGATTATTATGGGGAATAAAGATCTGTTTCAGTTTAGGTTACTTTAAATTGTCAGTTTGGTTGAATAGTTTTTTATCAACTCACCCTGCAGCCGTCTGATATGTAACCTTTGGATATTTTCCCGCCTGTGCTTAGAGGTGACCACCTCGCAGGAAAGGGCGACCCCCGACCCCATAGACCCAGACGAGATCGAAGTCGACGTGAACTACGAGCCGGACCCCACAGACCTGGTCCTGTCCAGCGTCCCCGGAGGCGAACTGTTCGACCCGCGCAAACACAAGTTCAGCGAGGAGGAGCTGAAGCCTCAGCCTATGATCAAAAAGGCCAAGAAAGTGTTTGTCCCTGAAGAACAGAAGGTAAGAACGGGGCGGAGATGAAGCTGGTTGGGTTCAACTCATTGCTGCTTTAGATCACGCCTTTAAGGCAACTTTCCAATCTGTGCTGTTAAACAGTCTGACCTGCAGATAAGTGGATTCTGATTCCTTCAGCCTTTTAAGAAAGTTTACTGTGTAATAACTAACATTTTAGCCCCATGACTCCTAAATCTGAGGTCCAAACTGGTATGCTGTCAGAATCTAGAGGAAGACCGGTCCTTTTAGTGTTAACAGCTGCTTCAAATGAGGCCAAACCTGAAAGGAATAGATCTAGCACCCCTACTGGCTGAAAGTAACACAGCATTGCTTTAACGCTGAACTTTCCAGAAAGCTGCAAAACTATCACATCTGGTTTAAACCTCTGCCTAAGTAGCTGTAGTTAATTCGCCTTTTAAATCCTCACTTTAAGTATTAAAGGAAAAGCACGGTCAGCAATGAATAATCAATGGGTAATCATCTATACCTAAACTAATACAAATATGTTAAATTTAATCAATTTAGCGTTAATCAGTGAAAGAATAAAAACAATATATTTTTCGTCACAACTTTTGCCCAAATATAGTAGCCCCTCCCTCCTGCCATCTTGCGGCCGTGACATCACGGTGCGGTAAGCCTAGCGCCATTCTCCCGGCTTTACAAGCAAAATCAATGGGAACTACTAGACACATCTGCAATCAACAACAATTATTGAAGATTTCCAGAGAACTGGTTTGATCATCTGTTCCCCAAAATATGGTTTAAACTCCGATATTGCCAAAAACATGTGAAAAAGTGTCAATAAAAAAGAAAAAAAGACAACTTTCACTTTTTGCTGCATTGGCTAATTTTTTCTTCAAAACAGCAAAACCTGAGTTTGGATTTGCTCAGACATGGAGCAGCTTTTTCCTGTAAAACTCCTCGATGACCAAACTTTAGAACCAAACTGACATTTTTGGCTCAAAGATTCCTACAACGATGCTTTCAAAGTTAAATATTCTCACTCAAGTGTTGATTAGATTAGTCAGGGCTTTTCTAACTTGTTAGCCCTATGAAGTGGAGTCCCCTGACTCACTGTGACTCAGCAGTTTCCAGCCATTGACATTTTTGTCCTCAGTCCCCCAGAGAAAACAGATCTTTGTTTAGAACCAGAAAGGAGACTGGCTGTCTGCCATCCTACTTCCAGACAGAATCAGATCTAATCTGATACGCTCTGATTACATGCCAGACTCTCCTCTAATTCGTTTTCTCCTCTCGCTTTATTTTTTCCAGGACGACAAGTACTGGCAGAGGAGAAAGAAGAACAACATGGCTGCCAAACGGTCACGAGACGCTCGCAGATTAAAGGAGAACCAGATCACAGTCAGAGCCGCTTTCCTGGAGCGTGAGAACTCTGCGCTGCGGCAGGAGGTCGCCGAACTGCGGAAGGAGTGCGGCCGATACAAGAACGTCGTGGGTCGCTACGAAGCCAAATACGGACCAATGTAAGGGATCCAGAACGGTCCGATTATCTATCCACTGGGAGGCATAGACAGAATCCTGATGGAGGCAGATGCCAAAAACATCCATACTGCTGAAAGACTTTTCTTTCATCTCATTTCTGTTGAGTTAAACACGGGGCGGGGGTCAGAACCCTGCAGGACGTAGAGGGTGACCTCAGTTAACAGATTTTAAATTTCCGGCAATATATGAGAGGGAAATTTTTCTTTCGGCACTTGAGTGATTCTCTGGTTAAGCTTGTTTTGCCATTTTCACACATGAACCCTCTGCAGCTAATATTTCGCATACGCATCATTGCGAAGTTCAGGTCGAACCAACCAATCCTGTGTGAAGCATTGAAGCTAAAGCCTTAGGTTTTCATCACACCAATCCTGCCAGTAAGCATTTTCAATAGCAGCATGGTCCCTCCCCCACCCGTTTCTGCACACAGCTAGCTGAAAGAGGGCTTCCACACAGCGCGTTACAGAAAACCAGAGGTAGTTTGGGCAGGCTACTCTTGCAGATAGCCTGACTAAAGCCTACTGAAATTTAATTTATTTAATTATTATTTTTTTTTATTTCAGTTAACAAAATTGCTTCTTTGCTGCAACAATAATGCAACAAGATTCTCTCAATAAAGTATAAAACTCTGTAATAAGGACTTGAAAACTACAGTTAAAGTTAGAAAGTTTTTATTCTGCTTTGTTATTTGTACAAAAGACGACAAAACATCAGTGAAAATGTAGGTTTTAATGTTTTGTAAGATATATTTAAGGCATCAAGGGATTATTTGCTGCTTATTGTAGTAAAATGAAGCAAATTGGTGTGTATGGTTGTATAATTTGGATTAAAAGCTGCATTCTGGCCCATGTTTTGTGTTGTGGAGCTGCACAATAGATTCAAAGGAAAGCTCAGGGGTGCATGTGGGAAATTGGTTTGATTTTGTTCACATAAACTGGCAAAAAGACCTGACAAGTTGCCTTTTTTTTTTGAGTATTTAAAAATCTTGACATCTGGTTGAGACTGTAAACGAACTGATGATTGAATCACTTTTTAGGTCATAATAAACGGACTTATGCTACGTTAAGACCGCTCGCGCTAGAGGCAGCAGAAGCAGCAGGTTTACATGCAAAGTCATTGGTTGAAGTGGATCAAGGTGCAGCAAAAGTTCCTACAGCATGTTTTGAGCACCAGGAGCACAGCGTCATGAGCTTCTGACGCTCTTTGAAAGCAGCAGCTGCTGGAGTTGGAAAAATTTTAACTTTTGCTGCTGCACGCGCCACATCAACCAATCTGGAAGCTGATCTGGGAGCTGGCAGGGAGACGGACACAGTACTGCTGATGCAGAGCGCTATGATCACTCCTCTGAAACAGTTTAACGCCTAAATTAACTTAAAATGTAGAAACCTGCCAGCAAAATATGTTAGATTTTATTATTCTGGTGGCTGCAGTTTGGATTATGTGAAAAACGCCTCCAGCCACCGCGAACAGACCAGGCCAGAGGCTGAACGGGATTCCCAGTAACAGCTCTCCGCCGGTATATGGGGGTCTGAGTGGCTTTGACAGTTCATCCGGATTACCATCCTGCATTCAAATATTATTTCTCTGACTGCACAGACCATGTTTTAAGGTGGACTTCCTCACTTCAAGATGTATATAAACTACTTTTTACCCACTGATCACAGCAAATGTAGCAAAGCTGCTCTCTGCCATCTAACACAGGAACATCAGACGCATCTGGACACACTTTACTGGACGTCTGACCTTAATTTGCACCAAAAATGAAGCAGCAGAAGCTTCTTTGCTGCTTCCAGTGCGTGCGGTCTGAACGTAGCAAAACTTTTTTTAATTTAACAGGATTCCAGCTGGTAAAACATTACTTCATCCAGTAGGTGGCGCTCTGAACCCCAAAGCAAACTGCTGTTTGATTTTTGCCACCATCTTTGTTTTTCCCTCTCATTCATCCCTGTTCTCTTCTCTTTCAAGTGCGGTGCCAGATGACGAGTAGACATCACTTGATTTATTCATTTATTTTACTCTGATGAATCAATAAATCAAAGCGCTGGCTGTGGCACGCAAGAATCGATCCCATGACGTCGAAGGCAGGATGTGACATTGCCATGGAGATGTAAATTGTTAAGATATCATCTTTTTTTTTTTTATTTGTTTCCACCTTTAATGGATGAGTTGAATGTAGGTGGATAAGTGCTTCTTTAGCGCTCCTTTGTTGTAGGGGTGCTCTTATTACTATTATGTTATTTTGTTTTGTACGATTGTAGCCTGAAAGAGATCATATCGTGACTTTTAGGTTTTTAAGTGCATCCTTTGAAGTTTTGGCAGTCGATGCCCTGGTTTAGATTAGGTTAGATTTCTCAGAGACCAGATTGTTCTGAGGATCTGGGCTCATCTTTAGATCAATCTGACTGTGACTCTTCCAGTAATAAAGCTTCAGGGGATTTCAGTGACACAGCAAAAAAAAATATATAAAAAAAGAAAAGCTGTGCATCATCACTCCGGAGACGAAGTGCTCTGTTCGTCTGTTTCTGGGCGTCTGCAGGATGTCCGTTTTAACTCATCTGCTTCCTGCGTTAATGTGTCGACTCTGTAGCAGGTTTGAGGGGAAAAAATGTATAAACTATATATTCACCGATGTTAGGTTTCTGTCCATACATGTTAGAGGGAATGAGCTCCATCAGCTGAAAGGTCTCTCTGTGATTTGGCCTGTAAATCCAAAGTGTCTTGGACGTCTAAAGCCATTTCAATGCAGCCCTCAGTCTAGCAGTTTACAGCCCGGATCTCACCCTCCCTCAGGTTCACCCACTTTCCGCCCATAAAAAGGGAAAGAGGTGTTTTGCTTCTTTATTAAGATGCTGTGCTTCCATCCACCCGTGGTTTGATCGATCAGATTAGTTCAATTCCTTTTCTTTTAGTTGAAATGTGAAGAATGTAATTAAAATCATATTTTAGATAAAAATCAATTTATTTAAAATTCATAATAGGGAAATATTCCATATAAACTCCACATTTATCAGTCATACGCAGCATTATTTTCAAGGGTCTTTTTTTTAATCACTTTTTTGGGGGGTTTTCTGATAAACAATAATGGGCTTTCAGACTTTTTTATTTTATTATTTTCTATAGAGTCTTTTTCTGTAAAAGAGGCAGCATCTGCCTTTTTCTTTAAAACAGGTCAAATTCCTAACTTCCTGGTTACGTCTTTTTGTATTTCTTTAAAAAAAATAAAAACGACCTTAATGGCATTTTGAGTGTAAACCTGTCCTGTGTTTGTTTGTATGTATATATTATGCAAAATTAAAGCCTTGTTGACACGAGTATGGGGCTTTTGTTTGTTTCTCTGTACTTTAAATTATATTTAAGCAGCAGGTGTCTGCAGCCTCCACAGTTAGAAGACCCATTTTTTTTTTATTCAGTTGCAACTTTATATCACCTTTTTTTTTTTTTTTATTGAAATTCAATATTGATTAAAATCTACTTTAAATAATTTGTCATTTTCAAAGCAACATTCAATACAAAATCAATTCTGTTAATTCCCAAAGGGAAATGGAACATAGAAAACTCATTAGATTTTTTTTCTTCTTCCTTAGTTTAAGGTTTAAAAGAAAAAAACTAAACTTATGCAAAAAGAAAAGGATATTTTTGGTCAGAGGTGGATGATGGATGATCCAGCTCCAGAGAGTAAAAGGCCTGTCATGTTTTCCTTCTTCCTTTTCATTTAACCAGGTGATTAATCTGTGTGGAACTGGAAATAATCTCTCTACAGACTTTTTACTTTCTGGACCTGGATTATCCACCTCTGTCCTTTGTCTGGGAAATATAAGCCAAAAAAAAAAAAGTTTCTAACCTAGTGACTGAGTTCTCATGGGTCCTTTAATTTGTTGAAAATTCTTCAATGTCCTGGAAAGTTTTTGGAAACCTCCAGTTCCCCAAAGTTTCACAGCATGTTTGCTGAAAATTGTTTTTTTCAAACCTGAAATCAGGGAAACCGGGTTTTCTGTCTCGCTGTCTGTTACCATAGCAACATTCTCTAAAAGCTAAGCTGCTCAGCAGCAGTGTCCTCTGTCTCTGGTCACGTTTTATTTAATGATCTATCAGAGTTTAGTCAGTTTTCTGTGAATAATAAAAAGGAAATCCTTTATTAGGTCCATCAGAGACATTGGGTGTTAAAACACAAACCTAGCAGGATCAAATAAAAGTGAGCGGTATATAAAAAATCTATTAAATGTGTTCTTTGTTTCTAACGTAATTTGAATTAATCACACCATATTTTTATAACACATTTTCTAAGACAAACTCTCATGTTTCCGATCTTAGACATATCCAGATATTGTGGATATGAAATTGGATGGTACATATTTAATCCATTTTATTTGAAAATCTTCTGCCGTTCTGTTTTTATTTTATTTTATCAGCATTCTATAGAAATTGTCTAATGATTAAGCCATAGAAGTATCCAAATATCACTTGAGACCATTTAATCTGAGCATTCTTAATTTCTACTTTATTGATCAAACCAGTGTTTTTGTTTTACAATTATAAAATATATATCAATAGTAGTATTCTAGTATGCTATTAATTATAGGATTTAAAAATATAACTTGTAATACTATATTGATATCAAAAACCAAGGGCTTCTTCAGAATAAAACTTTGAGTCTCTTGCCTTTAAATGTATCACAGTAAACAGGATGACTCCGCCATCGCTGACAGCTCACTGAAAGTCTTTTTCTTTTGTAAGTCTGTTTTTTCAACTTTAAAGGTTCTTAAAACCAAGAACATCTAACCATGGTCAGTTATATAGTCAGTTATAAAGGTATGACAGATTTTAAGCTTAATGCAGGGTCAATATTCTGTTAAACAACTGCAACAATAATGGAAAGAGAGAACATTTTCTGAACGTTTTTTAAAAACTTTTTAAGCCAAAGATAATGATGTTTTTTTTATTATTATTATTTTTTCATATGTGTGCACACATAAGCCCCCCTGGGTACACTGAGCACCACTGTGAGCTTCATCAGATGTGCACGCTGAGGCCAAACACCAACAATAAAGTTGGTATAAATCCTGGATCATAGTAAGTCACATTGGTTATTAAAGGAATAAGAGATTACAGCAGCAATTTTCTTTACTTTCCTTATAATTTACGTGATTTAGCCGAGTTAAAATGAAAAACTAAAATAAAATAAGATGTGTAGCATGCTATGCAAGACTCCAGCTTTGGCCAGTGAGACGATGCCCCTTTCAAACACTTTGGTTCACATTTTGCACAATGAAATGTCAGCTGTAGCTTGTGATTTAATAACACAGTTTTTTGTGTTTCCACTATAAATGATTTAACACTATAAACATTTCATGATTAGTATCCAGGAATAAGAAAAACGTAATACATGTCAGAAAAAATCTGAGTTAAATGTTATTTTTCTGTCCTTCTCCAATGATTGTCCAAATATGCCGCTTTAACAGCTTTCTACATGCTGTTTAGATCTGATTCATTAAATTAAATCTTTCACAATCACCACTGGATGATTGAAATATAGGACAAATACCCACCTGCTGTGATATCTCCTTCAGCTCCTCATATCTAAGTGCTGCAGCCACCATGTTAGTCTGAGAATTTGCTGATTTATCATGTTTACGTTACATCAGATACTTGAATTAAGCTTGTAAAGAAGTAACATGGGGCATCATGCAGCATGATGAACAGGTGCATTTTAAACTGTGTGCATGTTGGATACCAGGGCTGTTAAAAACCAGTGAGTTTCATTGTTCTGGAAGCTAAGAATGGTAAATAATTAGCACTGCCACAGATTCTTCTTCTTCTTCTTCTTGTATTATTTATTCATGCATCTGTGGCTTTCATTCACTAAATAAGGACATTTTTTAAACTTTTTTGAAGGCCACTGACATTTAATTAAACATGTATCCAAACCTAGCTTATAAATGTATTTAATTATTATTAAACTGATATGATATTTTAAACTAATTAAAGAGTATAGCTTTCACATTCCCTGTACAGCAGGCTGAGGTCATTTGTGATAGCGCTCATAAAAACGAGATCGTATAAGAATTGACTAAATAAAATAATATGAATATATATATATATATATATATATATACATATATATATAGTTTGGTGGGGGAGGGTTGTGGCATGGGAAAGTTAGGAACCATATTAGTTTGGTCTTTGCAGGTCAATAGTCACCTGCTCCACAAGTTTAAGGCTCTCAGAACAATAAAAGTGTTTTTTTCCCCTCCATTCTCATGATATATAGATCTTTAAATATTTTTAATTCAGTATTATTCTTGATAAATTACAATATATTATATTAAGATAACAGTGTCGGGATTTAAAACTCAACTTTGAGGCCATTTAGAAAATAACAATCCAACTGCTGCCCTCTGCTGGTCAAAAAGCTGAATTGCGCTACTACAAGCTCCAAACCAGTTTTGATATAAAAATGTTTTAAACCTGAAATTAGTAAGAAAATGCATAGTCAAACTATGCATTTTCATCAAAAAAACGAAAAGTTGATCGTCAAAGCAAACAGACCAGGTAATATTCGAAGTTAGGGGTAATAACTTGATAAGCAGGAAATTATGGTTTGAAAATTGTATTATTTGATGATTCATAGCGATCTGTTTAAGTCTTGTTCTCACCATAACCATATAGAAGTAGAAATATTGGATGGATTGGATGACAAAACCCAAATTTATCTGCTACTACACCGTATGATGAAGGTGAGGTAAAAAAAAAAAAATCTCCCTTTTCTTTGGAGATGAATTATGTGTTTATGTACTTGCTGATAGTGCTGAATGATTTTGGCAAAATCCAAGTGGAGATTATTTTCAACCAATATTGTGATTTAAATGCAAATTTTCTTTGCACTGAGCACAAGAATGTAGATGTTTTACTCTAGTTTCAGCTTTTTTTCATGACCTTGAAGGTTTGCTTCTCCAGACACCATGCAGGACTGACCGTAACCTTTGTGTGAAAATGTTTTTACTTCTACCACACATGGATCTGGACGCTAACATCTCATCTGTTTGGCAGCAAACTAGCTTAAGTCATATAACTGCCACCCAAAGAGCTGGGCTGATAAGTTTAGTGTCTTACTTTTGTTAAAGGTAATGTGAATAAAAGTCAGCAAGTTTAGCTAAATCGTGATAATACTGATAATGTAATTGATTTACAGCTGAATCTACAATCTCAAACTCCTAAATGTAATTGTCCACCAATCTCTACTAGACTACACAGATACAAATGCTATCATGAGAATTTACTTGTTCAGGTTAAGACTTCATATATAATAAAGTTTACCAGTCAGTAAATTGGGACTTTAAATGAATGAAATCCCAGAGTTTTTAATAACCAAGTAACAACAAATGTACACAGAAATAGAAAAGAACACTTTATTAAAGAAAAAAAAAATGTTTCTTGGAAGTTTTAGAAAAACTGCAGAACTAAAATCTTGAACTTGAGCATCTCTTCACCTCTTCTTGAAGCCGTACTTCTTCCTTTCATAGAACAGGTCTGTTTTGGAGCTGCCCAAGTTTACAATCTTAGGACATCCATCTCGCTGCACAGAGGAGAAAAAAGGAAGAACAGAAATCAGCTGGATCTAAAAAACCCAAAAGGTCCAGTAGGAGGAGGAAACTCACATCTTTCTCCTGGATGGTGCACTCTTTGCAGTAGTAAGCATCGGACACGCCGGGGCCTCCGCAGATGACGCAGCGTCCCTGATAGGAGCCGTAGTTACACTCGTCACAAATGCGCACCAACGTACACGGCCTCACATACGAGTCACAGATGACGCACTTTCCATCGCCTGGAAGAAGGAAAAAAAGATGAAGTGGTGAGAGGCAAGGAGGAGAGAAAACTGGATTAAAAAACCTATTAAACCAATATTCTTCATCTGTTTCTGATATATTTCTCCACCCCCTCTTAAACAGAGGGCATGGTCTGAGAGTCCAGCTCTCAAAAACCTACAAAACAGTGATAGTTTATTCCTTCCCACTATCATCTCAATCCTCATCCCCAATGCAGGGGATCTAAACATCTCCCCTGGTCAGCCAGGCCAACAATGACCCTAATGACTCCACTTTACAGAGGCATGGGCCAGTTTTGGGTTTTGCAGGCAAACAACCACCTAATTGACTCCCTATTGCTAAGGGGTGGACCTGTTCTTTCGGTTCACTTTGCATGTTTTTTAAGCCATAACAAGGCTTCGTTGGGGTACTCCATAAAGCTTGGAACTCAACGCTAATCCAGACATTTTGAATTGAGAAAGTTTCCTGGATGGGAAACGAAACGTCTTCAAACTTGGAAAACAAAGTCCAGTGGATTGTTTAACATTCTTGGATATTTTTTCACAGCTCAAAAGTTGTTTTTATTCCAATCAAAGCTCTCTATCCCTTAAAAATTTAAATTAATAAAAGTACGGCAGTAAGTTGTATGGCAGATCTGTCTACAGTGATCAGGCTTTAGCCAGACAGATAGAAATAATAAATGATGCAAATAAGATTTCTTAATTTAGTATGTTAATAAATCATGGTTTTCCCTTTGACAACACTACATATCTTCCCCATGGTTTTTGTTTAATTTCTACCATTAATATATATCGAAGGAGACTGATCTTTTTTTAAATCTTTTTTCATTTATAAATACCTGACTATGACTAAAAAATGTATTGTTATTATTAACCCAACATTTCCTAGAGAGGTAAATTCAACCTTAAATGTCACTGGTCTAGAGGGTCAATAGTCAAAGATACAGGGTTCAAGGACATCTTTCATGTTCTGTTGTTTTTTGGTTTTATGGATTCACCACAACAGCATCTTTTTCCAATCCTTTACTCTAATGACCTTCTTTGTTTTCCAATTACAGCATTTATTCTACTTTAAAGAGCAGATCTGTCAGGATGGGAGAATCTTCCTACCAATTAGTCACATGCAACATTTGTTTATGCTTCAGGAGTTTGTCTTTAAATAATCCAAATAAACTACTAAATAACATATTTTCAAAACTATATGTTAAATTACTAACCTTTTTCAGCAATGCACAGTTTTTAGATCTAATCTGTGTGTTTCCTTATATAACAGGTAGCTATCATGACAGTGAAACGCTGCTTCTTTTCTTTCATAAAAAACAAACAAAATTGACTCTTTTGCACAATAATTAAAGCCCTTGACACCCATGTCCATTTGGGGCAAATGGAATAGAACTAAAAGCAGTAGATTTTATTAAGCATTATTGTTAGTCTGTTTTCCAGCTGAAAATGTCAACACTTACATTTCTCGCAAAGTCTCCCGATAGCTGTGGAATAGAAACAAAGAAGTCAGTTAGATATTTTATTAAAATAAATCCGCAATACATCTATTATAAGTATCACTTTATAAGTCACATAGTATTGTTAAACCCAAAGATTCGTTTGCAAACCTTAGGTGTAGGAGGAACATTAAAAAGAGCCACTTGAACGTAGAAACTTAAAGGCTAACATCGACGCTAACAACATTTCCATTGAAATCCATGCTACAAGCATTAGCCTAGCGGGTAATGCTATCTACAGCGAGGCTACAGGAAGACATTTTAAGGAGGCGAGAGTTGCTGATTATTTTATTAATAAGAACATTTAATAAAACATACCGACACCGGCTTGTTTTCGACAGAAGATCAAATCTGGATGATGCTTAGCCATTTTGGGCTAACGTTTACCGAATGGCACCGGTGCGTTTCAACATTAACCTTTCAACTGCGGGTTATGTTTCAGTTTCCAGCATTACCGCTACCTAGCGGCATTGATGAGTCACTACAACCAGAAAACCCCTAAATCTGTGCTAGAAAATTAAATCAGTGTCATCTTTATTATCAAAAGGGCCGAAAATAACACATACAATCACGTGAATACATATCGAATGAGAACATAAATACGAAGAGTAATTCATTTGGCTTTGATTCCATTATGATAAAAAATATCAGACCCTGTGTTTATTTAACATGTTTGGACTTATGGATATTTAGAGTGAATGTTAACTTTATAAACTTAAATAAGAAGAAGAAAAAAAAATAAAAAATTGGCGCCCCAAATGCTGTAACTGCTAAAATTACACCTCAGCTTTACAAGTCTTGAAAGTCTTTATTCGGTGTTTTAAAGGAGTTTTGCAGTTTACTGCTTAGGGTGAATGTAATCCAGTTTACATTCACCCTAAACAGAGCAGACGATCCAATGGTTAAAGAAATCTCAGAATACTTAAAAAAATGTTATGATTGCTTGATGTGCACATGCATGCCTCTGCAATGAAAACAAAAATTCATAAATCTAACTTTCACAGGAGATGTATCATAAAGAAAAATTTGCTTCTCGAGATGTTTGCCAGAAAGAACACAGAAAAAAATAAAACCACAGAGCAGATCAATGGTTTGGGATAAAAAAAGGGTATTCCAAGAAAAATATTCTTGACTTATGTAAAGTTTAGGGCATGTCCTAACTTTATCCTCAGCTAAAAAAACTAATAAACGTGATTTTTACTTTTTTTATTCAGAAAAAAAAGACTAAATATGAAAAATATCTTCTAACGGCCAAACACTAATATCAATGCTAAAATTGCTTATATCGATAAAAAAAAAAAAAAAACTAAAAAACCTGTTTTTATGATATAGCTTCCAACATAACCAGACTGTCTTTGCCAAAAGCTGTATTATTATTGAAACTCTTTTATTGTTATTATATATTTCTTAAAAGGAATGTTTATTGTTTGCTGCCATGTGCAGACATAAATTGATTTAGCTGTTTTTTTCTTTTTAAACTGTCTTATAAATAAAGTTGGTACAGTTCAGAATGTTACAATATGTGTCCTTTTTTTCCAATATGACTTTATATATGTAGATTATAAGAAAAATCCAATCTGGATTCAGAGTAGCCATAGACTTAGACAACTTATTAGCACAACAGTCAAGAAGTTAAAGTTTGGCTGGATTTGGGTCCAACAAACCAAGTAGACTATAAGTAACATAAAATCTATGCCTCAGAGTCTCAGGTTCAAGTTGATGATCTCAATTTCACAGCAAAATTGTTCAAAATGATGAAGAGGTGGAGGAGATCAGGGGGCCTACAGACCTGACATAGATACAAAGGTTACACTATTCCAGAAAATTTGTGGAAGGAAAACATCACGGTGGTGGGCCTCATCAGAGACGACAACGACCAGGACTGCAGAGAGGAGGTGGAGCAGCTGGTGGACTGGTGCAAAGATAACAGTCTGATCCTGAATGTGGAGAAAACAAAGGAGATCATTGTTGACTTCAGGAAAAATTGGCTTAACCACACTCCACTGCTGCCAGCGCTGCATGTCTCCTGTAACATCATCAAAGAACCCTCACCCCCCCACCATGGACTGTTCTCCCTGCTGCCCTCTGGGAAGAGGCTTTGAAGTATTGGATGCAGATCCAGCAGATTCTGCAACAGCTTCTTCCACACTGCCATCAGACATCTGAACTGATGACAAATCATGTCACAGACTCTGCATCACACTTTTAACACCAATCCCAAACCAAACCACAACACTGCATATTTGCACCATATATATTTAATTCTTTGAACTTCCATATCAATGCGTTTTTTTGCACTGTGTTTTTTTTCTCCCACACTGTTTACATTTGATCACTGCTGCACTTTGTGGAATAGAAATGTTCATTAAGCTGTACTAAATGAAATTTTGTTTTGTAAACATTCTGTGTATACAAAATGTCTTATTCTTAAATTCTGAAAAAATATTTTTAAAGGCAATTCCACCTAATAATGATGAAACGTATGTAAACTTCCGATTTTAAAGGAAGCAAATAAAAAGGTGTCTGAGGTGTCAAAAGTACTCACACGTTCTACATAAGTAAAATTATAAATACCTGTGTAGAAATAAGCAACAATAGTGCCTAGTTAGTTACCAGATGTTTGACATTATTTTTAAGTAAAAATGTAAACTGAATTTTGGGCTCTGAATCGTACAAAATCACTTTTAAAAACTTAATTATTAACAGTCCAGTTTGCATACCATGTTGGTAGAAAGAACATTAAGAAATATTCTGACTATTCCATCCATCCATCTATCCATCCATCCATCCATCTATCCATCCATCCATCCATCCATCCATCCATCCATCCACGATCCATTAGGGGTGCTGGTGCCTATCTCCAGCTGTCTATGGGTGAGAGGCAGGGTTCACCCTGGACAGGCCCCCAGTCTATTGCAGGGCATGGGGTAAGTAGTTGAATCAAAATCAAAATGCAAATTTAACATTTAACAAAGGGGAAATAGATGGGGAATATCTTGCCTCTTAGAATCTGATCTAACATCTATGATGTTTCCTTACGACTTTATTTTTTTATATATATAAAAGGCTCCAACTGGGCAGCTTCTCTCTGTGTTTTTCCCTGTTTTGTGGCAGCTTTCATGCCTTGTTATCAATATGTATATAAATAATGAGATAGTTTTAGCAAAGTAAGGCATAGAAAGTAAAGGTACTAGTGTTCAAATATGGTAAAAAAATACTCTAGTAAAGTGCAGATACCGAAAAAAGGAACAGAAGTAAAGTAACTTGAATCCTCTGGTTTACTTTGAAACGTTTGCTTTTTTTTTATTTATTTATTTATTTTTTATTAAAAAATGATATAAACTTAAAAGAACATAAATATTCATTGTGGATTTGCTCCAGTGGGTGGCGGAACAATGAAACACGAGCTGCTTCAAACCACAGAAGAAGAACCAGGCTTTACAATCGCGTGACGTCACCTACGACCCTCACATCTTTGTCAGTGAACAAAATGGCAACCTACTGTCTGACTGTGTCCCGGCTCCAGGTAAGAGGCTTTAGAGCACCGCTTAGACCCTCCAGCCGGCAACGGACCGGCTCGGGGGGTTTCTCTGAGCGGCTGGATCCGCTGGAAGGTGGTAGTTAGCCCGCTGGAGGTCAGAGAAGCGACGCTGAGAGCGGAGAAGCCGCTCAGGTCATCGTGTCCGAATCCACTCTGAGCGTATTTAGCAAGAGAAGTCTGCTCCAATCTGACCCTGAAAACCACCGCTGGTGGCTTTTTATGAGAAGATGTTATGGAAGGCACGCGCAGGCTTCAAACCGCTATGCTAGGTTTGGTTCTGGCGCTGGAGTCTGGCTGCGATTAGCAAGGTTATCAACAAGGTTAGAGCTGCCTGGGCTCCTCTAAACACTGATTCATGTTAGAAATGAGGCAGAAAACACCCAGAGCATGCTGCTGTTAATCTGACAGACATACAGAGTAAAAACAAAGTATGTGTTCGTTTCTGTAGGTTTAAATGTAGTAAAACTATAAATATAAAAATGAAAAAATTCAAGATATCAATTTCTCCATTGTCACCTCATACATCACCTGTGAAAACATTAGTATAAATATGGATACAAGCTTTTAAAGTTATAATTTTGTAAAAACACAATTAGGCGTCACAGATTTTTGAATAAGCATGAATCACAAATTTGACTGTCAATCACAAATGTGAAAGTATAAATCTATAACTCCTGATAAAGAGTTAGACCTAAACAACTTTTGTTGTTTCGTTTTCAACATTTCATTTAGTACAGCTTTCCAGATGGTAAATTAACATTTCTGTTCCCTAAAGTGCAGCAGGGATCAAACGTTAACCTGCTGTTACCCTCCTCACCAGCAGGTGGTGCAATGACAATGAAAGTTAATAGAAAACCGCCTTAAAGCAAGAAGGAGAAAATGATTAAAACTGAACCATAGGGCGTTTCTCAATTCACGAGAACGCGAGTACGTACTCGCGTTCTCGTCAAGTCCGTTCTTGGCGAGAACGCAGGAAGATCGGACTTGACGAGAACGCGAGCACGCAAGCACGTATGTGTATTGGAACAGAAGCATACTCGTGACGTCATCACATGCAACGTTCTTTGGCATTTCTTTAACAGTCAAAACTATTTATTCCCTACACAAAACATTTTGAAAACAATATTTTTAATTTCTAAAGCTTAAAACACATTCTCGATCTGGCGTTCTCGAGAATTAGAACGGTACTCGGGCTGAGGCTGATGACGTGTCACGAGTACACGAGCACACAAGAACGCTCAAGAACGCATATTGAGAAACGCCCATAGATTGAAGGTTATGTCCGTTTCTCAATTTACAAGAACATGAATACGAACTCATGTCCTCGCCAAGTATGTTTCTTGAGAAGAACACAGGAAATTCTGGACTCGGGGAGAACAGGAGCATAAATATGGGTCAAATGGAACAGAAGCGTACTGATGACATCACCACACGCTCAGCTCGCCTGGAGCTGAATTTCACCTCCTGTTATTATTAGTCGCTAAATAATAATACATTATTACTTTTTTTCATTTAGTGGACCCAGTCAGATAAACACAATTTAAATGAACATTTTGCCAAATACAACAAAAAACTCTCCATCAGAGCCAGCAGTCCTTCACACACGGCTATGCAGAGAGAGGCCGTTACAGACCGGCTTGGCTCTGCTGTTACCCTCAGAGGTCCGCTGGTTGCCGCGGTCCTCTCAACTTCGGAATATTTTTTTTTTTTATTACACACTAAATTGGTAAATGGGCCATATAGTGTTCTCGCCTCAAATGATCTTAAAATCTACTTTTATTGAGCAACAGAAAGGAGAACTTTTAACTTAATACTCTGAGCTCTGTGAGCAATAACCTGGAAGCTGCTTCTGCGATGCATGCTGGGACAGCTGTCAATCTCAAAAACGGACAAGTCTGCCCTGATGCATGCTGGGTAAAGAGAGAGGGGCGAGAACAACAGCCGGGAACTTTGTCCGTTCTCGGCCTGCTGTTCTTGTTAATTGGAACAGTACAAGGGCTGAAGCTGATGATGTTTCACGAGTACACGAGAACATGATAACGCACAATTACACATATTGAGAAACGGCATATGTGTTTAAAAAACCAAGTTTCAGCAAAACTAAAATCTATTGTATGTTTTCGCCATCATGACTTCTAAACTTGTGTTATCAGATAAAACATTTGATGTCATTAGAGCTGAAACTACTCACTGGAATAATCGTTTTATCAAAATAATTGTCAGCTAAATGGTAAAAATAAAAATATATAAATATTTTGCATTTAAGATAAAAAAAATTATACTTCTCTACTACAATCTGATCTATACAGAACTTCTCAAGTGCAAAGTTTTAGTTTCCACAGGTTTAAGTGTGTAAAATTTTTTTTAAATTATCAACAGATTAATCAATGAGCAAAATAATCATTAGTTACGGCCTTAGGTGTCAAATATATTTATGAACTGAAAACCAGGGACAAATATCTTTCATTTATTCCCATTTATTGACTCTCATTTACAAATTCAGATGCCTGCGAAGTTATTGACCTTACCCCATACATAAGAAGCAACAATCAGCTGTATGTAAACAAATCAGGGTAAGATTGTAAAGGTATTTAACATCACAAGTTTGATATAAAAAAGTGATTTTTATACACTGATAATTTACACACACAGATTTTTGACCCAGATAATTAGATCAGCAGTGATGAGATTGGAATCCAGATTTGTTATGTTATAAACATGTTTTGCTTTAAACAATCAGTGGAAATGCTGCTGAATGAAAACCTGTTGAGCAAACAGGAGCTTCTATTAAAGGTCATTACTAGAAAGGCTACCAGTTTGAAGGGAAAAGTACAAATACTTGGTCTGAACGACAGATTCATGCGCTGGATTGGTCAACAAACTGAGCTCAACCCAATAACCTATTTTGCTGATGGATTAATCTGTCAATTGTGTTTTACGATTAATAATCAGTTAGCAAAAGGCTCCTTAAAGTGGATTTTTTTAATAGAATTAAACCATGTGAAACTTATTATTTTCCACTTTAGGAGTTCTGGGTAGAGCAGATTGAAAGATGAAAGTTGTTTTAATTTAAAATGCTAAATATTTTATTAGGGCTGAAACCATTAATTACATTATTCAATATTGAAATGATCGGCAACTGATTTATAATCGAGTAATCTTTAAGTGGAGTGAAAAAAACTTTTTCAATCAGTTCTATCCAGAACTCCATGAGTTGGAAGAGTTTTAGTTTCACCTGGTTTAATTTCGTAAAAATATATTCATTAAGGAACCTTCTGTTATCCAATTAATAATCATATAATTAATCAATTTGCAGAATAATTGTCAGCTGCAGCCCTATATATACTTTTTTACAATTTTCATATAATTCCTGCTCTAAGTGGGTCGCTCTGTCAGCTAAAGGCATGTTTTAGTCTCTATACTCCACTTAATGATTAATCAATTACTAAATTAGTTATTGCAGTAATCGACAAATCACGTTTAATCCGATTAATTGTTTCAGACCTGCTGTAGACTCTTGTTTAGAGGGAGATTGGGTCACCAGAACCAACCCAGCAATAAAACCAGGCTTTCTTTAAACCTCAGCAGTGAGACGGGTTATATCCTTCTTCTCCATAGAGAAGGGAAGAAGCAGAAATCCATGCAGTCTAAGTTTTATTTTTATAGTTATTGTTTTTTTTGTTTTTTTTTTAATAAACGAGTGTTTGAGTGTTTTAAATAGAGCTGAAACAATAAATGGGTTAATTGATTATTGAAATGAATGGCAACTGATTTAGTAATAGATTAATCATTAACTTGAGTATAGAGACTGTAAAACATGCCTTTAGCTGCCAGAACGACCCACTTAGAGCAGGAATTATACCAAAATTGTAAAAAAATAAAATAAAATGTTTTGCATTTAAGATATATAAAAAAAAATCCTCTGTCAATATGCTCCATCCAGAACTCCTCAAGTGGAAAAGTTAGAGTTTTACCTGTTTTGATTCTGTTAAAAATCTTCTTTAAGGAACCTTTGGCTCTCTGATTATGAGAATTGCTAAATAATTGTTAGTTGCAGCCCTAGTTTTAATATATCTGGTGAAGTCCTGCCTCTATGCATGAAATTACATCAAGAAGTCCCTTTTTTAATTATCAATTTCCAGACTGCCGTGTCGTCTGTGTATAAAAAGTTTATGCTGAGAAAAACCTAAATCTTACTTTCCTGGCATTTTGTTTAGATGACAGGTGAGGATAAATTTGGCATTTCATGGAACGCTGTCCTACAGGACAACATGTAAAGGCTTGGTTTAGTTTTTCTGAAGTGATTAATATTAGAATTAGAATGTTAATTAGAAGACAAGAACTGGTTAAATTAGTTTACTATATGAATATGTTATCATGTGAAAAAATATCTTAAGTATCAATAAATTTAGATAAAAATTCAGATTATATAGAAAGATTTCAATCTCCATTGCTCATTTTATTTCCCACTAATGAGGAGAGATTATGTTCTGTCTTGTGTGTGTCCAGTTGGCCCTGGGTCATGGTGCCCGGCGCCTGCATGTGTCGGCCGCTTACCGAGCCAAGGCCAAGGTGGCCATGAGCCGCTTTGAGCCCACCTCCTTCATCAACTACGAGAAGCTCCAGAGCAACGTAGAAATAGTCCGGAAAAGGTCAGTGCCCTCTTTAATCTGGCTTCTATTTGCTCACGTCTGGGTTTCCTCCAGCAGACGTAGCTCTTTGAAAGTTTTTTTTTTGCGTGACCTTTAGCACAGTTATCATCTTTCCAGCTGGAATCTCCTCCCGTCAGTAAAACAAAGTAACAAAGTTCTCTCTGTCTGCAGGCTCAACCGTCCTCTCACTCTGTCAGAGAAGATCGTTTACTGCCACCTGGATGACCCCCACCACCAGGAGATCGACCGCGGCCGCACCTACCTGCGGCTGCGTCCGGACCGCGTGGCCATGCAGGACGCCACGGCTCAGATGGCCATGCTGCAGTTCATCAGCAGCGGCCTGCCAAAGGTGGCCGTGCCGTCCACCATCCACTGCGATCACCTGATCGAGGCCCAGATCGGGGGGGTGAAGGATTTGGCCAGGGCAAAGGTGAGGCGGCCTTATAGATGTCTGGTATTAGAAATGTTACCTGCTGTGTGTCCATATCATTCTAAATAAATCATCCCTGGCTGAAGCATGGTGGTGGGAGCCTCATGATGTGGGGACAGAGACTGATTTAGAAAAATTGGATTAGATGTAGAAGCTTCACCTTCTAGTGTAACGACAGCATTAATCAGGCATTCAATGATGCCTGTGGCTGTTCTGTTGGTTGAGCAGATCAGAGCTTACCAAAGGTGGGCGTCAGGGCGGCGTTATAGACCGGGTATTAATGGGTTTCTCTCTGTCTCATATGCCAGGTCCAAAGCAGGCTAAATATTAAATATATTTGCTTAAATAATTATTTTTCTTTTATGCAGATATCATGCAAAAATATAATGGATTTTTATTCTTTGTGCCTTATAAATCAGAGAAATCCCTCCAACAAGAAACTCACTCATCATTTCTGATGCTGATTTTCATTGTGATTTAGAAAAATAGTTAAAAATCAAAACTTTTAGGAACAAATTATTCTAATATTTGATTAAAAATTGTTCCAATATTTGATTAAAAACTTGAGTTAAGAGTTAAATCTAGAAAGCTACGTTAATTTCAGCTGGGACTGTTAATTTTCTTAAAGTTTTTATGGGAATGTGGATCTTTCAGATTGATTTAATAAGGATTTTTGATCATGTTCGATATTTTTTTGTGACATGAGGTGAGGGGAGCTAGACTTGGTCTGGTCTTAGTCTCCATACACTCTGGTCTTGGTCTGGTGATTGTGACTAACACTGGGTCAGCGGGGTTACTGCCTTCTTAAGGACTTGCATGTTTTCCTTTATCCATATTAAAAGTTAAACCACAGATCTTTTCATTCTCATAGGAAGTAAACGAAGAGGTCTACAACTTCCTGTCCAGTGCTGGAGCCAAATACGGAGTGGGTTTTTGGAAACCTGGCTCTGGAATCATCCATCAGGTAGATAGGAACAGGATCTGGTCTAAATATGGCAGACGCGGCTCTATGTTAATACAAACACTCCCGTTTTTCTTCTTTGCAGATCATCCTGGAGAATTATGCCTACCCAGGAGTGATGCTTATTGGCACAGATTCTCACACACCAAACGGCGGTGGGCTCGGTGCCATCTGCATTGGAGTGGGCGGAGCCGACGCAGTCGACGTAATGGCTGGAATTCCCTGGGAGCTCAAATGTCCAAAGGTTAGCAGTTCATTTTAAAAGATGTGCATCTGTTCCCTCTTTTGTTCCTTTAGACGCTTCTTGTTTAGATTTTTGACACCAGTCACTGTTTTTAATCCTCGAAGGTGATTGGCGTGCGACTGACCGGCACCCTGTCTGGCTGGACGTCTCCAAAAGACGTCATCTTGAAGGTGGCGGGCATCCTGACGGTGAAAGGAGGCACCGGGGCCATCGTTGAGTATCACGGGCCAGGAGTTGACTCCATTTCCTGCACTGGTTAGCATTAAATAAAGAGTTACAGTCGCTCAGAAACACTTCGACCAAATTGTTTAATTAATTGCGCCGTCTTTTAGGAATGGCCACCATTTGCAACATGGGTGCAGAAATTGGAGCAACAACGTCCGTGTTTCCTTATAATCACCGCATGAGGACCTACCTGGAGAAGACTGGCCGTGGAGGTGCGATCACAGGAATATATTCATATCTACCAGAGGTGTCAAAAGTAATAATGTTTATAACTCAAGTAGAAGTTTAAATCAAACCGTTTAAAAACACTTTTGTAGAAGTTAGAGGATCAAATCAAGCTTTTTATTCAAGCAAAACTGTAAAATTACTTTTTTTTTTTTAAAACAAAGTATAAAAATAAAAGTAATGCAAATGTTAAAAATGTTAAGGACAGAAAATTTACTGCTCTACCCCTTTTAAAGGAAAATTTTTCGTAAATTCCTGATGATAACTTCCTTATACTTAATTTTCTTAGTTTTATAAGTAATGGTAACAGTGTCACATTTAACTTTGCATCATCTTGGAAAACTATTTATTTTGGTATGTGGTGAACAACAAGTGGGGGCAGCACCGAGTCCAACCACAAGGAAATTAATTGTCTGGATGAAACTAATAATTTTGAAGGTTTTTATTTTCATTAAATACCAACAGGCCATAATGAAAATGAGCTTAAATAAAACAAAACTAACAAGTCTATTTTTAAAAATTTAAGGAGTAGAAGTAAATAGTAGTCTAAAATAGAATTACTTCAGTAAAGTATAGGTAGCCCATATTTCTATTTAATATGGTAACAAAGTATTTGTACTTTTTTACACCTCTGATATCCACACAGAACAAGTCAGCATAAAGGTAGGCATATTTAAAGACTTTTTTTCTTTTGTGTTTTCCTTCAGAGATTGCTGCGGTGGCGGATGAATACAAGGACTTGTTGGTACCAGATGAAGGCTGCGAGTACGACCAGATCATTGAGCTAAATTTAAGTGAGGTTGGTCTGAATTCATTTACAGCCATATAAGTAGATGCTGGTTGTGTTTATGCCTCTATGGAGTTAACTTTGTTCCATTTTTGTTGCAAAAAAGATGTTTTATAAGGGGATGCAATCTAGAAACAAAACATGAAAAACTATATCAGAAAAAGATTTTTAGTAATGTTGCTGTTTTTAAAAAATAATTATTTTTAGTTTTTAAGTTTTTATATTTTTAAATTTTTGCAAATTTCTCTTCTTCAGATTAAGGATAAAAACCTAATTCTTTCCAAGTTGCTTTTTCTGGATCCCATTCTCTTCACGTCTGCTGAATGTTAGTGGCAACGTTTTTATTGATCAAGAGCGAGCGATTGCAATAGGCTGGAACTGGAAAGAACGAGATCTGTGAAATTAATTTTAAAAGACAGGAATTTGTAAAAATGTATCTGAACAAGACCAATAAAAAAATTATAATAAAATCTGTAAAACAAATTAGAAAAATTAAGTTTAGGAAAATAAAATTTGATAATGAAATATATTTTTTGAAAAATTGAGAAATTAAGGTTAAATCTAAAAAAACAGCAAGGTTATTCTCAAAAATCTTTTTTTCTGTTGAGAGATATTTGAGTTTTGTTTCTGGATTGCATGTCTTTCCATTTACAAAAATTTTTGCTAAAGTAATGGAACAAAATAGGATCTCTGACAAAAGTTTAACCTTGAAGGGTTTTTTCACGCCTCTGGGGAAGTTTCTGCTGTAAAGTGATAATCATGGTTAGGAGTGTGTGGGACAAAATCGATTTGCCGATAAATTGTGATTTTCAGCTGCCCGATATTACATCAATCTTTTAAGTTCTTAATATAGATTAAAAATGAGGGAAATTGTGTCACGTCTGCACCTCCACTCTGACAGATGGTGCTGTGGAGCTGTGCGGCAGTTTCTGCAGTTGAGGCTGTCACAGTGGAAGATGTGGACTGACTTAAACCCCAAAAAACATGGATACCAAAATTACCAAATAATCCATATCTTCTGATGAACATTTACAGCACTTGCTTTTTTTATCTAGAGGTTTAATGTTGATAGCTGGGGAAAACATTGCAATATATAGTGATATTGCAATATCATGATAATATCAATTCAGTTTCAATTCAGTTTATTTCTATAGCACCAATTCACAACACGTCATCTCAAGGTACTTGTACAATTTACCAGATCATTCAGTCAAATTGATTTAAAGTTTTCTTTCTAAGGAAAACCAGTTGGTCGCATCGACTCATGGACTCAAATACAATCCCTCACACTAAGCATGCTTGTAGCGACAGTGGAGAGGAAAAACTCCCTTTTAAAGCTGAAGTCTGTAAGTTTTTAAAAATCACTTTTTTGTCATATTGGCTAAAACTGTCCCTATGCCCAGACAGCAGTACATGTGATATGTAACCTGTGAAAAAAACTGCTTCAATTGGTCCCGCATACTGCCTGTATTTCAATCTGGAAAGAATATTTCGGGACGAGACAAAACAACCAATCACAGCCAGAGGAGCGTCTGATGGAGTGTCAATCACAGCTCACACATGCTGAATCCCGCCCCCTTCCTCTCACCGCTGAACCTGCCGCAGCCGCAGTCAGGAGGACGTGCGTGGAAGTCATGGCGGAGCGACAGCCACCAGCGAAAGAGAAACTGCCCTTACTGCCCCTGCCGACAACTGCTTACACAGCAAAGACTTCAAAAAAGAAGATGTCAATGGAAGAGCTGCTGCGTACACTGCTTGGACGCTTCTGGTCGCATGCGGTAGCCGCGCAGATACTGTGAGAGGGGTGGAGCTTGGAGGTGAGGCATGAGTGAAGCAGAGAGGGTGGGGGAGTGGCGTGAAGCCTGTTTTTCTTCAAATTTTCAGTCGAAGTCTGCTCTCTCCTCAATGTAAAAGACTGCAGCTTTAACAGGAAGAAACCTCCAGCAGAACAGAAGCAGACACACAAAAAGAACCTAATATTGTATTCTGAGTATCGTGACGCATATCAGGTCGCACCACCCATGCTAATACTCCCCCTAGTCATGATTAGAATATATTTGTAGATGCTTTATTGTGGATGACTCTTAAAAACATGAATAATCTGAAGCAGTTCAGCTCATCCAGTTAGATGTGTTAGAAGTCTGGCACTGTGGACGCAGTCAAACACTAACGACTCTTACTGGTTCAGACCGGTTTACAAGAGGAAACTATGAACTGGATGGAGAGAGAAGACCGTAAACTTGTGTTTTGTTTTTTCCAGCTCAGGCCCCACATTAATGGACCGTTCACCCCTGACCTGGCACACCCCGTGTCTGAGGTAGGCGCTGTGGCCAAGAAGAATGGCTGGCCGTTGGAGGTCAAAGTTGGTGAGGACTGCTTGATGATAAAATGCTTCTGTTGATTTATGGGCGGTTTAATGTGCCTTGAGTAAAAAAAAAAATGTTTCCCCTCACTTTTAAAGGTCTGATCGGCAGCTGCACCAACTCCAGCTACGAGGACATGGGCCGCGCCGCTTCGCTGGCCAAACAGGCTCTGGACAAAGGCCTGAAGTGCAAAGCCCAGTTCACCGTCACCCCTGGCTCAGAGCAGATCCGTGCCACCATCGAAAGAGATGGATATGTAAATGATGGCTTAGACCTGAACGTAGCTCAGCTTTCTGCCCCGATGGGCTCAAATTAATTCTGTTTTCTTCTTCAGTCAAAGATCCTCAGTGATGTCGGCGGGGTGGTCCTTGCCAACGCATGTGGACCCTGCATTGGCCAGTGGGACAGGTAGCCTCACCATCAATCATTCAGTATTAAAGGAAAAGTCCGTTCAGCAAGGAATAATCAATGGGTCATTATCATTACCTGAAACTAATATGTACGCAGTAATTTAATGATTTTAGTGTTAATCAGTAAAAGAATAAAAACAATATTTTTTGTTGCGATCACTGAGTCTGGGAGCGGCCATTTTTGCCCAAATATAGTAACCCCTCCCTCCTGCCATCTTCCAGCAGTGACGTCACGGTGCGGTAAGCCTAGCGCCATTCTCCCCGCTTTACAAGCTAAATCAATGGGAACTACTAGACACATCTGCAATCAACAACAATTATTGAAGTTTTCCAGAGGACTTCACCATTGAAATTCACCAGAGCTATAGTGAAACTGACAATGCCAACGTGCATGGCAGCTGGATGCTGGAATACATCGGGGAAAAGTGAAAAAGAGTTATTTCACCTTTCTGATTCCTGATCCTCCACGGACGGGTTGGTCGTTGGATCGCCAACTTGAAGAGGGAGGATTTGCCATCAAACTTCTGGCCAGAGAAAAAACCCGTAATATGTAGCCAACATTTGGAAGAAGAATGTTTTCAAGATGACTTGGATAATAGCGCGTTGTGACTAGGGGTGGGTATTGCCAAAGAAGTCACGATTCGATTCGAATCACGATTCACAGGCCACGATGCGATTCTATCACGATGCATCACGATACTTGAATTATTGCGATGCATTGCAATATTTTCTCCTCCATGTTTTGTTTTTGAATGACTCGGCACAGTATCCCACGGCCGGGAATGCTTGTGACACAAGGCAGCGTGCGTCAACACATTTGCAGCGACATCTACTGGACTGGAAGTTGTATTACACTTGTTTTTGGCTGATGTTCGCCAACCATTCATGCAATTTTATTTATTCATTTTTTTAAATTAATAATCGATTCTTGGCATCAAGAATCGATGCAGTAGATCACGAAAATTAGAATCACGATGCATCATCATCACGATTATTTTGCACACCCCTAGTTGTGACAAACACCAGATACAGCACTGGGACATGATCAACAGCAGATACCGCACCGTGACGTCACAAACCAGTAGGTGGCAGTAGTGTTCTTTGACAAACATGGATGCCTCCAGTAAAACACATTCACATGAAAATTACTCTGAATTAAAAACACTGACCATTTATTGAACAGGATGTTATAGTTTCATATTTAAAGGACTTTCAGAAGTTTGAATTCTGAATATGACCTGAGCAGACTTTTCCTTTAACACCTCTGGAAGCCTTTTATATTCTCTGATGTAAAGACTGCAAACAGTGGGCATCTTATAGAAGGAGGAACCTATCAGAGGGGTCAGAGAGAAAGGTTAGAAGAAGTTTAGGTTATTAAATAATTGCTGTAGCTGTATTTATTACATGAAGTGGAAGGATAACGGACCAACTGTGACTTAATGCTGGACTTAGCAGAAATAAGAAGTGAGGAAAACAGCGTTTGGAGGTTCCCTCTAAAGTTCCCTTTATTACTGGGTGGCGTGAAGCATCACCACATAATCTCTAGAAGGAGAAAAAACGCTGCATCCAACAGTTTCAAAACGATAAAAAGTTAAGCTTACAGTTTGCAACATGCCAGAATGTAAATGGGGCATCATGTTTAAGAAGGTCCTCTCTGGTCTCTGCTGCCTACATGCAAAGCACCATTTCTGGGGACATGGTGGCAGCATCATGCTGTGGGATACTGGCAAGGATGGGAACTAGGGGTGTAAAGAATAATCGCTTTGTCTCGATGCATCGATCCAACAGCCGACGATCTGATGCATCGACACGTCTGCAAGAGTATCGATTGAAGCTTTTTTTTCCCCCTCTGGTCTATTTTTATCCATTTGCTCCTGGACGTAATTCTGACTCCAGTGCTGCGGTGGCGCTAAACCTATTTTGCCCTCCTACCTCGCTTCCTTTAGCCACTACCCTCTTTCCGCATGCACACACACAGTCGCATAAACAGTAGGCAAGACAGACATGGTGGAGATAGCTGAGGTGAACGAAGAAGTAGGCAAGACAGACGGGGTGGAGGAAACAAAAGATATTCTTGAGTATCGAAAATAATCGAATCGTTGGGTCAGATAATCGATACTTAATCGAATCGCCATGATGGGTGTGATTTACACCCCTAATGGGAACGCTGCTCGATAAGAAAAGGAGCTACATTTACATCACAAAGAATCAGTCTTAGGATGGCACAGTCAAAGTCCAGACGTAAATCCGCTCCAGAATCTGGATCAAAATAAAAAAAGTAATGTTCAGAAAGTCTTTCGGCCGCATCAGCAGTACCATGTGATTCTAGAACGCTCTGCTGCTCGTTCACACAGGATCCCGTTAGAAGTCTGCTTGTCTCCTAATTACTGTTGGAACAGCTCCACTTTACGTCGATCTGCGTTGATTATCTCTACATATTTTTTATTTTTAGGCGCGATGTGAAAAAGGGAGAGAAGAACACCATCGTTACGTCCTTCAACAGGAACTTCACTGCCAGGAATGATGCCAACCCTGCGACTCACGCCTTCGTCACGTCTCCTGAGGTAAACCCAGGCCCGTCCCTTAAACCAGGACACACAGGGTCACGCTTTGCAGCTGAGGTCCTTCTACTTCCGCCCCCCTCAGATCGTCACTGCCCTCGCCATTGCTGGGACTTTAGACTTCAACCCAGAGACGGATTACCTCACAGCGTCCAACGGAGAGAAGTTCAAGCTGGTGCCCCCAACCGGAGACGAATTACCATCCAGGGACTTTGACCCGGGCCAGGACACCTACCAGCATCCTCCCAGTGACGGCAGCAGCCTCAAGGTGGACGTCAGTCCTCAGAGCAACCGCCTGCAGCTGCTGGAGCCTTTTGACAAGTGGAGTGGAAAAGACCTGGAGGACATGGTGGTCCTCATCAAGGTGGGCCCCCTCCTAGAGATCAGCAATCTCCTCCCAGCTGCTGCTGTCTGAGTCTAACTCCCAGGTGTGTCTGCAGGTGAAGGGAAAATGCACCACAGACCACATCAGCGCCGCCGGACCCTGGCTGAAGTTCCGTGGCCACCTGGACAACATCTCCAACAACATGCTGATCGGTGCCGTAAACAGTGAGAACGATGCCGTCAACAAGATCAAGAACCATCTGACGGGAGAGTACGGCGGCGTCCCGGATGTGGCGCGGCACTACAAGGTCAGAGTTCATCCAAAACCGAATCTCTACCTTCTCCTGAATCTTCCTTCATTAACAATAAAATGTTGACTTCCCGGTCGACCTGACGTTGCTTTTATCGCGCAGGCCAACGGCGTGTCATGGGTGGTGGTCGGAGATGATAACTACGGCGAGGGCTCCAGCAGAGAGCACGCCGCTCTGGAGCCAAGGCATCTGGGTGGAAGAGCCATTATTGTCAAGAGCTTTGCCAGAATCCACGGTATGACAGCGCAGCCGCTCAACTTATGTTGCTAACCTCTCTTTAAACATGGCCAGTTCAGGTTTATTTTTTTAAAGTTTCCCAGTTTTGTAAAAAACATTTTAATCAGTTTATGAGACGATCATCTGCATAAATTCAGGGGATCCCATCAAATACATTAAATTTTATATAAATTAGAATATCCAACAAGCTGCAGCTCTATGGGGCTACATTTGGGCAATAAAGTTTGTTTGAAAACATTTTATTGAACTAAAAAAAAAAAGGTTATTTAAAAAAAAAAGTTAGAAATTTAATTTTTTTTTAGAAACTTAAAAAAAAAGATTTGAAACAGGGAAAAGTGAAACTACAAAATGGATTTTACAAAAAAAAATGGTTAAAATGGTTGGTTAAGATAAAATGGTTAAGATGACTGACGGCTCAGTCCCCCGGATATATAATATTCTCTGCCGTTTCATTCTTTAGTCGTCACAATTAGAAAAGTCTTTGAGGCATAAACGGTGTGATTGGTTGGAAAAAAATAAGCCGTTTATGTCTCTCATGACACAAATTCATGATGTTGACAAATTTGCGTAGTCAGTCTACGTTGCACATTTGCGAAGCAGAACAGCTGAACCCACTTCAGCAGCCGCAGTAGTTTAAATCATTTTTAGTTATTTTAAAACAAAAAAACTAAATTTTTTTTGTTTCAAATTTCTTTTTCAGCCTTAGATATTTGTTTTCAGTTTCCAAGTAATTTTTCAGTATTTTTTTTTCCCAAATCCTTTTTTTTTATATTAATGTTTTTTGTTTCCAAAAACTTTTTCTTTTCTTTTTTTCAGTCTCCAGATTTATCAGTTTAAATTTTTTTGTTTGTTTTTCAAATCATGTTCTTAGGCCTTATAGATATAGATGGATATACACACACATAATATGGATGTGTGTATTTTAGAAAAAAACAAAAAAAAAACCTTAACATTTTGGCCCCATTTTAGCTCCATACGATCGTTCCTTCTCAGCAAGAATGGGACAACTGTGGAAAAGAACCCCTCCCTTTTCAACAGAATCAAACCTCTAAAGCTGAGCTCAGTGTCGGAGACGATCTTCTGTCAGGGGCTTTGGATCACCGGCCTTTCAGTGCCTTCTATGGAAAAAGAAATCCCAAAGGGCAAATGCAACACAATAGGTTTTAAATGGCTTACATCATGATCAGCAGTACAGACAGCAACTACTGTATGTCAAAATTTTATGGTAAAAAAAAATGGTATGCAAACTTTTGTTTTTTGTAATTTACAGAGGAATAGGTTGTAATGGTGCAAAAGACCACAATGTTTCTGGGTTTAATAGTCAGTCTGAGGGAAGAAACACTGTTGGTTGGTTTTTGGTATTAGTGATATGTAGCTCCGAACTGAAGGTAAAAGTCAGTGGCAGAGTTCTTGAATTAAAAATATGTAAACGTAGAAACACTGAATAAAAACCAAGAGCGAGCGAGAGGATGACGTTAGTGGCAGAAATCTGTCAGTCAACCATCCCTTCCTGGAAAGATCCTCTTCTGTGAAGGAAAAAGGAACAGCTGAAGTAGCAGTCCTTGGAATAACGCCTAAAAGGGGAGAAGCAGAAGTAAATATGTTTGAAATTGAAACAATTTGAGCTTTTAACTAAAAATTTCTCCTGTATCGCAGAAACAAACCTGAAGAAGCAGGGCCTGCTTCCGCTCACCTTCAGCAACCCGTCAGACTACGACAAGATCCGCCCAGATGACAAGATTTCCATCAAAGGACTGAAGACTTTTGCTCCAGGAAAGGTAAGAACTTATTCCTGATATGCTTTAGCTGTTCATAAGAAAACAAAAACATCTCCGCTGAGGGTCTTTTCTCCCTTCTCATTGTCCTCAGCCCCTGACTGCAGTGGTAAAGCACAGCGACGACAGCCAGGAGACCCTGACGCTCAACCACAGCTTCAACCAGACCCAGATCGAGTGGTTTCAGGCGGGCTCAGCCCTCAACAGGATGAAGGAGATGCAGCACTGAGCCTGGATGGGGGGGAGGAACCAGAAGAGGAATCAGGGTGGTACAGATTGGGAGGAAACAGAAGGTCATTCAGGGTTTCATCACCAGGATTAGCTTGCAGTTTTGACTGAAGTTTAAATAATAAGGAAAGTAGGAATACTTTTCAGCTTCTAGCTAATGTTGTCGATGGAACATTGGAACCTGATCAGTTAAATTTCTTACTCCTCTTTCATCAACATTAAGCCTATTTTTAAAAATGTTTGGCCACCATGTTACCATAGAGCACAGAGAACCAGTTCTAGAGCCGTATCCCTGGATACCATCAGTATGTTTAAACCAGTCTGTACAATGTTGGTCAGCTGCTTTAGGGTCATCTTGTCCCTCTGTTAGTCACAGGTAAATACTCACATTTTCTCACACGCTTAAAACTTGCCCCCTGGTGGTTCAAATGAGGTACTGCAGAGGGTGCAGCAAGCAGACCTGTTGTATTTACACAATATTACAGTGTGTCTAACAGAGCGACACCATTGGGTAAATTTTTATATTAATGTCTTAGACGGTTTCACCACAGAGCTGCATTACTTCACGTTCAGATATGTTCAGTTTAATACGACGTCCCATCCTCCTATCTCACAATCACTTCTAATGAGGTCAAGCAGCACGTTGTGCAGCATGTTGTTGTTTCTGCTGTTTTGTATTTATCCATGTTTTTTTTCTCAGAGCACTTCCAGACCTTCATCATTTCACTAACAGGGCAAACATGTATTTTTCAGGGTTCTTTATGTGCAGGTTTTGTTTTTTTTCTGGTCCTACAAAAACTAAACTGGTTTATTAGGGACGTATAATTTTAAAAAACCCATAAAACTGTTCATTTTCTGGGCCTTTGTTTATAAAAAGAAAACTTAAATCATTTAAATCAGGAGAAAGGATGGGGTCACTTAGATCAGGAACAGATTGTTGGATCTTTGTCCACAGATATTTTTCTGCCAGCCAGATGAAATCTCTTCCTTTTAACCACTCCATGTAAAGTGTCTGATTCTGTGTGCAGTTTTGCCTTCGCTCCCAAATGATCGTTTCTGTATTACAGAAATTTTAAGAGATTGTAAAATAAAAATGAACTGATATCATATATGCAGGTAGTATTGTGGCTGTTTGTTAAACAGTATTAAAAATCATTATGGTTCAAAACATGGAGATGTTTATTTTTTATCCTTTAGAAAGCAAGTACATTGGCCTTGGTGCCTGTTTTTTTTCTCTTAAAAGCTTTAAAACTTAATTTAGATTTTTTTTTTTTTCTACTTGGGTATATTGTTTGGCTGTCGGTCATCATTCAGTCGAATTTAATTCCATGTCGTTTAGTCCTGCACCCACACAGAGTAGGAAATCAGTTTGAAACTAAAAAAAAAATCCAACCAGTGAATGACCTGGTTTTGGCAAAATACCAATTAAACAGTCCCATAAAACAATAAGCAAAGTAAAAACCTATTTATGATGCAATTACCAAATTATTAAACAATTTTTTATATCTTTATGAAAACTCACAAAATGACAAAATGTAAGATTTCTTATCACAGTGACAAAGTAGTTATTTTGTATCCATTTATTATGAAGCACACATGTTACAAACGATATATAAAATATTCTTAAAAAAAAAAAAATTCAAATAAGAGACAAAAGCAAAACAAAAACATATATATATATATATATATATATATATAAAGCACAGTGATGTATTTAATCAGCAGGACCATATTAACATTTTGCTTTTTTATGTCAAAGGGTGTTTGGGCCTTATTCGTAATAAACATAAGGCATATTCTCAGAACTTAAGTTTGTCTAAAATGAAATAAAAATGATATTACACTGGCTTAGTTCGTGTCAAATACTATATTTTTTTCTGTAAAGCTGTTCAATCTGTTATTAGAGCTGAGGAAAAAAAGAATGAAAAGATGAAATTGTCCAGAGAGCTGTTCAAAACGAAATTTCTTTTTGTTTTACACTTGGGTAGACCAAATGACAAAATCTAAGTCTTAAGAAATGCTCAAAAGTTAGCATTAGCAGTAGCAGCCACCGGCTCTCACTCAGGCAAAAGGGTCGGAATGCGAGTGCGCCACCTACCGGTCGGGAGGCGTTAAACATTTAGCCATCGCATTGACAAAAAAAACAACTGAATTTAGAATGTCATGCTGTTTATTCAAAATATAAAAAGGAAATAACATATAGCTTCTGTTATCAATAATAATATGCCCCCCCCCCCATATATATACACGTAAATATGTGTTTTATGGTGTTTACGAGTAATCTACAATTTATGTAATCTGTCTTTATAGAATAAATTATTGAATAACTAATTTATTAAAAAAAAACTCTTCAGAAAGGAAGTGCAGCGGAAGGAAGGAATTTCATTCTATTTAAAAGCAGTGATTTCATAAGAAGTAAATATAAAAGTAGATGTGTTGCTGCAGCTCCAGTCTGATAGATTAGAAGCTTTTTCCATCCCTGCTGACAACAAAGAGAGGACTGTGGTGGAGGGAGAAGCCGGCTGTTGTTTGGAGCCCCCACCCACCCACCAACCAACCCACGCACCCCACGCCCCATCCCCGCCGCCTCCCTTCCCATTCTCTGCCCTCCTCATCCCGCCTGTCTGCTGCTCTCCCCGCATCCATAGCAAGCTTCCCGCACTCATTCAGCTCCTGCTCCCGCACCTCCTCTAATGATAGAAGTGCCTGATTGAAGCTGCGGGATCTGCGGCGCGTTTAGCGGTGAGTAATCTCTGTAATCTCTGAGCTCCTCCGGGCTGCTCACTCACATTCCCAGTCTGGATTATTACGCATCCTGGTGGCACCTTTCATTAAACCGGAATATAAAACCCATCAGTGGTGATTCTGCTTCCCAGGCTACATGTTGTTCTCTTTATTTCCTTTGAAGCCTGAAAGATGTTTTCTTCCTTTCTTGTCTTCCTGTGTGAGAATGTTCTAGAAACAGCCCGCCTCGCTGCCCATTCAGTGCTGTAATCTCACACTGACAGGAGCTCACAGCGGCCAGAATGAGCCTTTAAAAGGTTAATTTAAAGTTTAAAGTCAGAGTGTGTGTTTGGACGTGTCTCTCATGCTGATGCCTCCCTGTCCTGCTTTCACTGGCTGCTGCTTTGGGCCGCATTGTTTTCATTCCCAACTGATTCCAGGGTTCAGTGAGTTTGCAGATTCTTTCATTAAAATCCAACCTTTCTAATTCTCTGAATTATTTATTCTTCCTTTTCCATCAGTCTCACTGTCTGTCAGCAGCTCGATCAGAATATAACATCATCTTGATCTGTTTGGATGACAATAGGATGTTTTCTGATCTCCAAAAGCCTGGAGGACCCCTTATTGATTGAATTAATTGGGGGGACATTATCTGCCATCTAAGGATCATCGACATTTTTATGAACTAAATTGTAGCCTTTAAACTAATTAAAGGTTGCAACTTTTTCATCAAAATTGTTCATTTAAAATAATATAATACATCCAGAGAAGGTTTATAGTGGTTCAAAATAAAATGATTAGTTTCACTGAAAAAAAGAAAACATTGTTTGAATAATTGTTTTTAAAGGAAAAGTCCAGTCAGCAAGGAATAATCAATGGATCAATATTTATACCTTAAAATAATATGTTTGCAGTGATGTAATGAATTTAGCGTTAATCAGTTAATAAAATAAAAATTATATTTTTTCTTCACCATCACTGAGTCTGGGAGCGGCCATTTTTGCCCAAATATAGTAACCCCTCCCTCCTGCCATCTTCCAGCAGTGACGTCACGGTGCGGTAAGCCTAGCGCCATTCTCCCCGCTTTACAAGCTAAATCAATGGGAACTACTAGACACATCTGCAATCAACAACAATTATTGAAGATTTCCAGAGGACTTCACCATTGAAATTCACCAGAGCTATAGTGAAACTGACAATGCCCACGTGCATGGCAGCTGGATGCTGGAATACATCGGGTAAAAGTGAAAATAAAGAGTTATTTTCCCTTTCTGATTCCTGATCCTCCACGGACGGGTTGGTCGTTGGATCGCCAACTTGAAGAGGGAGGATTTGCCATCGAACTTCTGGCCAGAGAAAAAAACCGTAATATGTAGCCAACATTTGGAAGAAGAATGTTTTCAAGATGACTTGGATAATAGTGCGTTGTGACAAACACCAGATACAGCACTGGGACTTGATCAACAGCCGATACCGCACCGTGACGTCACAAACCAGTAGGTGGCAGTAGTGTTCTTTGACAAACATGGACGCCTCCAGTAAAGCACATTCAAATGAAAATTATTCTGAATTAAAACACTGATCATTTATTGAACAGGATGGAATAATTTCATATTTAAAGTACTTTCAGAAGTTTGAATTCTGAATATGAGCGGACTTTTCCTTTAGGATTTTGATGGGTCCATCCATCCATTTTCCATTATTCCTGCTGGGGTGGCGAGGGATTCTTGTGCCTATCTCCAGCTGTCTATGGGTGAGAGGCTGGGTTCACCCTGGACAGATCGCCAGGCCATACAACTATTCACGCACACATCTAAAGAGAATATATAGAGGCCAGTTAACCTAACAGCCATGTTTTTGGACTGTGGGAGGAAGCTGGAGTACCCAGAGAGAACCCACGCATGCTCAGATTTTATGAAACGAAAGGAAAGAAGAACAGGGAAGTGCACATGTTTTTATTTCATTATTGTTTTTTTATTTTATTTTTTTTTTTTTTTTTTATCGCACATTTTGATGATTTGAAACATTTAACTATGAGGAAAAAGGAAAATACAGAAGAAATCAGTTAAAGAACACTTTAAAAACAGATCTCCCATCAAACAGACATAGAGCATTTTTTAGGTATATTTAGAATTTACTACTTGGTTTCTAATCTAAGGATTAAGTTTAATAAAACCTGCTTCTGGGTTTGTGGTTTAGAAACAGCTCCTGCCTAGACGTTCCAGTCCTCTCAAGTGATGGCCCCAATCCAGCCGTCCTGAACTATATATAGAGTGATGGGAAGAGGCACAAAGTGTGCTGCTGCTGCTGCTGCTTGGATCCTTTCGGGAATCACTCTCTGACACTCTCACCTCATCAGGCTTTCAAGCTGCCGTATGGCTGCTGATGAAGTCTGTACTTCTTTCACCCGCAGCTGTGATTTCATCACAAACAGGGATGTTCATCCACGCCCTGTAGTCATCTCTGCATGTGCAGATTGTCCTGAAAATTAACGATATAGATCAATTCTCCCTGTAATGACTGGATGATTTAGTTTGAGCCAAATGGATGACTGAGCTCATTTAAGCTCAGGAATGGCTGTTATGAAACAGTTCAACGTGCAGCTTATGAACTATAATTAATAATAATGATGTGGAAATAATATGTTTATCCAGTGATGCAAAACCAAAAAGGGAGGAAGAGGAAGTTTCATGCTATATTTCATACTGGGGTCATTTTTTTATTCCATTTCTGTCTGTTGCAGCAGCTCCAGGCTGTGACAGAGCTCGCTTTATTCCTACAAACCAAGAAGAAAAACAACTGTAGGAGCCTTTAATTCAGGCAGAATGAAACCTCAGAAACGTTCTAATGACAGATTCACAAAATTCACCAAGGCACAAAATAACCTTTGAAGTTCCTGTCTAGGGTTTGGTTTTGCTGTTCTACTAGTGCTTATTGTGCGATGGTCTGTAGCAACACTGCAAAAACGATCTACAAATAAGTCAACATTTCTTAAACTAAGTGTATTTACCCTTAATTGGAGTAGGTAACTAAGATGATTTCCCATTGAATGAGTAATAGATAATATGCACTTGAAATAAGACCATGCATTTGTTTTTTTTGTTATTTTAAATGTAAATTGTCTTCTTCCATTGGCAAAGTGTCTCACTAACCTCCTCAATTCCAGAAAAGATGCACACATTTTTTTGTAAAAAATACTTATTTAGATATAAAAAAAAAATGTTTTCCAGTGAATAATTGAGTTTAATTCACTTCATTTAATTGAATTCAAATTAAATGTTGCAGTAACACATAAGGCTTTTAAGAAACCGATTGTTTTTGGTGTTGATGCTGTAGGCAGGAAGGATCTTCTGAATCGGTCTGTTTTGCACCGGATCTGGAGAAGCTTCTTACTTAAGACTCTCTGTGTTTGGTTAACAGTGTGATGAAGAGGATGCTCACTGTTG